CGGTGGGGTCTGCAACCTGCCCCTTCTGCTGGACCGAGTGGGGCGGGCTGAAGTGACCAGGTTGCTCCCACGGAGCAGATCCTTCTGGCTCTGCAAACCGGGCCCTGCGGTCCTCGGGAACGGAGCCATGGGCTCTCTTTGGGGGGAGGCCCAAAAGAGAGGCTGTGGTGGTCGAACGCCCCCCGCCCTGTTGCTTTGAAAGACCCCCCGCACTAGCCTAGTGTGGCAAAGACCACTGATTTCTCAACGGCCAACGCCCACCACAGTCTGCAGCAATCTGGGAAGGGGGCTGCCCACCAGAGGGGCACACGACAGCCCTCTTGCAGAGGAGGACAGCACACGAATTGCTTCTGGGAAAGCCAAGGGAGCCTCCCACTTCTCAGTCCTCAGTTCTCCTTTTCCGCCTTAGTTTCCACGATTCGCTTCCCCCCTTTTGGAATGAAACCAACAGGCTGGGTACATGGGCTTCCTTTAATGACAGCAAACTATTTAGCTAAGGAATAACAAAGTCACAGAACAGAAGTCGAGAGGGGCCATTTCTGATGGCTGGCCGGAAGGACGTTTTGGCTAGAGCAAGACAGCGGCGTTATCGGAGTTCTAAAGCGCAGCCAACAGCCCCCTCCCCACAGGGGCTGGGATAGTGAATGATTCCACCTTTACCAATGAGGATTAATTAGAAGGCGGGTAGACCCTTCTTGCAATAGGAGGCTCTCTGTGCAGATCAAACACATGGATGTTTGAGCTGCCCAGGGTCTAAGATCTGCTCCTGCTGGGTCCCTCACACCCACCTTGGATGCTTTGGGACAGCGTTTCTCAGCCTCAGCCACTTTAAGACGAGTGGACTTCAACTCCCAGAAGTCCCATGGCTCCCATGGCTGGCTGGGGAATTCTGGGAGTTGAAGTCCACTCGTCTTAAAGCGGCTGAGGCTGAGAAACGCCACTTCAGGAACTTACAAAATAAGCTTTGCAGATGGTAAGACAAAAGACAGGTGAGCGCAGGAAGCAAATCTCACTCAGACCATTTCCAAGTTCTGGGGTGCCAATGGCTAAAATCCTGCGAGACACTGAGCCGCCCACTAGCCAAGCCCACTCCAGTCCAGCCTGCAGCGCAAACCTGGCTGACATGGGGCCTTCAGGATTTGCGGTGGCCGTCCGCCCCACCAGCTGAGCCAGGGCGGCTGAAAGACTTGGTGGCCACTTTGGTCTGAGTCAGTCCCGAGCCCCCTCAATGACTCGGTAGGCTCAGTTCAGGCATTGTGTTTTGCCTGGCTACCAAATCCACCCATTTTCCGGGTTCCCACCCTGGGCTGCAAAGTCACCAAACAGGCTGGTGCTGCTCGAGGGGGAACCACCCCAAAACTGCCCTGAGTTGCTTTTGTGCCAATGTGGGCAGGCAGCCTTCTGCTGCCTGCAAGGATCTGGTGTGCATGAAACTGTTGGGTCTCCTGTGGGCAGAGAGACTGCTGGACTAGACAGGTGAAGGCCCCCTCCAGCAAGCCATGGCTTCTGTTCTGATGTGGGCTTTAAATTCATAAGCCGGTGTCGCTCCCTGGTCAACGCGATTCAGGCTACAAGTTCTGTTTCATATGGCTGCATGTTTGGCTTAAAAAAAGAACACCAGAATTGCTCCCTGACCACTTCCAGGCTTCATGATTGTCTAGCAAAAGGCGCCCCCTCACTCTGTTGTATTTCTCATCCTGCCACTTTATTATTGCCCCCTCCCCCACAATTTCCTTCTCACCGCCCCACAGGACAACCCGTTGACCGTTTCTGTTCCTCGGAGCTTGCTAACTATCCCCTTAGTACCATTCAATTCTTCTGCGATACGGAGGAACCGGGTGCACGCAAGGTTCAGTGCAGGCCCTGGCTTCAGTTGCAATGGTCCATAGTTGGCGGAAGGCACCGAGGGTGGTGGTCAGCGAGGACCTGCCTCTAACACTGCAGCTTCCGCACCGCCCTGGAGAACTTCTTCAGCTCCTTCTCTCCGTGTTTCCACCTCCTGACCCAGGAAAGGATGAGCCGGTTGCCGAGCCGGTGCCCCATAGCGAGGACCGTGGCGCCCGGCCCCCCCGCCAGCTCTTCACAGGAGCAGGCCTCGCCATCCGCCAGCCACAGGACTGGCTTCTTCCGCTCATCTTCGGACCAGCCGTCCTGCTTGTAAAGCGTCCGGCCCCGGAGCTCTGGGATCACCTTCAGGTCCCCCCCAACACCGGATAAGGATTTGACGGTCATTTTCAGAGCTGCAAGAGGCAGAAGGAAGAGAAGAGGCCAACCGGACGTCAAGGCTGTGGCCTGATTGACGGTCCCCTTGGCTTCGCTGTCGCCTTCCTTGCCCGCCCCCCCTGGCCAGTCGCCCAAAGACAGGCAGCTCAGAGCATGGGCAGCCAGAACCTGATGCACCACGAGGCTCACCAAAATCCTGGTTGCAGACTTTCTCCAGGAAATCCTTCTCACTCGGCCCAGAATCAAGACAGGCTGTGCAGACGGCGTCTGGAGGGGACAGGAAGAGAGCAGAACGGAGGACCAGGGTGAAAATACTGAGGGGGGATCTCCTGGAAGAGGCAAAAGACACAGCAACTCTCCCAGAGGCGGCTGGCATGAGCCACAGTGACTTCCTGCATCCTGAACATCAGGAGGAGTCTGGGAACACCTTTCCCAACAAACACCTTTGATGTGCTTATTATGGTTTATTATTATTCCGCATTATGATTTTATCCTTTCAGTTTAGTCGGAAAGGATGCTCCCAGACTCCTCCTGATGCTGGGCTATCTTAGATTAACAAGTCTCTTCTCCTACAGTGTCATATCCTCCCTTGTGAATGCCCGTTCCTCTTGCTTCTCCCTGGCTTCGGTGGCTCAAAACGTCCATGGAGACCTTTGGCTGGAGATCCGTGCTCCTGCAGAATCAACCAGGCTGGTCCCAGCTCATCCTCAGATGGACCAGCCACTTCAGCTGTGGGCCACCTGGTTGGGGAACAGCCGCTATGGAGGGAGGGGGGACAGCGATGCGAGAAGGGAATGATTGGTGAGACTGGGGGGGTGCACCGCTGGATGGCGCTGGATGGCTGGAGCAGCTCAAAATCAAGGGGCCCTTGGCCCAACCCAGCTCCCAGTCTCTTCCAAGCAACCATTTTCACTTGATTTGCGAGGACTTTCACACAGTGCTGAAGTATGGGCAGTGCTAGACATCTCTCTATTCCCCTGCCCCTTCTGTCAATGTGCGTGCAGCACCCCCCAGACTTTGACTGACTCATGGATGTTGCAAGGGAGCCCCTCCCCCCAAATTCTGCTCCTAGGAGATTAAGGAATCCCATGGACACACTCAGGAATGGTGGGGACGGGAGGGGAGGGGGCGGAGCTATGCATCCTCTCCCTCCTAAGCGGGGAGTAGCTGGGTCCCAGCTGCTGGGGAAAAAAGAATTGCACCCCCCCATAAACCCCCCCAACCCAGTTCTATCCTCCAAAAAACTTCCCAGTTGCCATTGGGTGACCCCTTTCTCCCCGCCATTGGGAAGAAGAGGAGAGAAAAAGTGCCAGCAGAGGCGGGCGAGGGATGGGTGCCGAAGCAGTGTTTTCAGTGGCAACTCGATGCGACCTCCTTAAACTGGGGAAAGGAAGGTCTGTGAGGGTGAGGCCAGATTGAGAACCGTCTTCGGCTGGCTCCCCAAAGGGCAGAGCCTGCGAGGCAAAGCAGTTTGCAAGGATGGAGGGGCTCTTGATGCAAACGTGAGACCCTCCTCAGCGGGATCCGCATCCTCCCTTGTGTTTGTCTGGGCAAACATTTGGCAATGCCCTCCCTCCAGCCCAGATCTCACCTCCTCCCTTAATCCCTTTGTACACAAGCTCAACAGCTCTTCCCATCAGCAGACAATTGTCTCCCTCCCGCAGAGGCTGAAGAATCACAAAGGCCAGAAACGTCATTGTTCTGGCTGTTGAGGTCATTAGAGGAATCCTGGCGGTGGATCCAAGCTGACTTTCTGGGTCACTCAGTGGCTGAGACTAGGTGAGGGTCCACAGCTCTCCAGCATGGAGGGACAGCAGTCGCCCCCCTTCCCCCCTTGTTATCGAAGGTGGGCAGGCGAGCGTGGGCTCTTCCAGAGGGGTTCTGAGGAGGAGCCAGCTCCTCCGGCCCCTTCTGAAGGCAATCCAAGGGTGGCCTCCATCGCTTCTCTGGGGAGCAAATTCCACAGCAACTCTGCAGTGTGCGGTGAAGCCATGTTTGAAACTCTGCCCTGCATCTCCCAGCACCTCGTTTCAGTTCTAACCCTGCGAGAAATGCCCACATTTTCTATACAAGGAGCAATTTTATGCACTCAGTTAGGTCTCCCCTTTCAGGCTTGGCACCAGGCTAAAAAACCCAAGATGCTCTCGTCTTTCTGAAGAGGAAACATTAGAACAAGCCAGATTCTGTGCTCGAACGGGCTCCCATGTGCCCCGGATGAGGGGTACAGCGCACAGTGCCCTTACGCACCAAGGGGGTGCCCCTCAAAGGGGCGGCTTGTTCCAAGCGGTGCCCTGGCCTGGGGAACCTCACTCCCGCCCCTCGGGCTGTGGCTCCCTTCCACCGCCCGCTCACCTTCTTGGAGGAGCTGCTCCTGGTCCTCCGGGCCCACTGGGGGGATGCAGAGCTCGCTCCCTCGAGGGAACCGGCTGCAGTTGAGCATTTCTGGCCAGGGGAAGCCGAAGGCAGCCATGACGGGCACGCAACTGTCTCGGACGGCCTCGCAGAGGGACCGGCAGGGGAAGATGGGCTCCTCCATCTGGCTGATGCACACGGGGGCAAAGAGGGAGCAAAGGAACTTCTTGGTCTCCCGGTGGCACTGTTTGGTCAGCAGGGGCACCCACGAGGCGGCCTGCTGCAGGGCCTCCTTCATGGTGTCGTGGCCCAGGAGGTTGGGCAGCCGCATCTCGTTGTAGCCCACGCCGTGGCAGAGGCTCATGCTGCTGGGCACGGGCTTGCAGGTGCTGCGCCGGGAGCTCAGCTGGACCAGGTGATGCGGGAAAGCTGAGGAGGAGGAGGAGGAAGCAGAAGAGAGGCCACAGCAGCAGCCACAGATAGCCAGCAGGAGCAGGAGCAGGAGCAGGAGGGCGCCCCGGACAGCCATGAGGAAC